GATGGTATATATAAAACCCTGAAAGAGAAGAATTTCCAACCAAGAATTATGTACCCAGAAAAAGTGTCCCTCAAATATGATGGTGAAATTAGGACATGTCCAGATAAGCAGAAATTAAGGAAATTTGTGAAAAATCAGGCCAGCCTTACAAGAGATGCTAAAGGAAGTCCTTTGGACAGAGAAGCAGCAAGAGCAAACAACAACTGGCCATTAACACACGTGATGACATAACCCAGAAATCAACACAGCTATGAAAGTATCCAAAGTAAATAAGCCTACAAGATTGTAAACAGAGAACCAGAGGCATCAATTGACAAAAGAGGACAACTACAGACCAAAAAGAGGGAAAAAACTGTGTTGTTAAAGAACTTCTAAATGGTAGGGAAGTCAAGACAACTACAAGATAGAATGGACTGTTGTAAAGTTGGGAAGAAAACTAAAAAATCACAGGGTAACCTCAAAGAAAAATGATAAACCCTCACATAAAAATAAAAAAGAGGACCAGCACAAATATTTAGCAAATGCTAAAACAATAGCAACAAAGGAAGTGATAACATGATTCATAAACAAAATGAGCTCAACATAGAAAATTATATGGAACGAAGAAATCAATACCACAAAAAAGCACATAACAACAATGACAGCAACAAACTCATACTTGTCAATAATTACATATCTGGCAAGGACTTATCTCTAAGATTTATAGAAAACTCCAAAGCCTCAACAGCAAAGGAATTAATAATCCAATTGAAAAATGGGCAGAAGACATAATAGATACTCCACCAAAGAGAGTATTCAGGTGGGCAGCAAATACATGAAGAGATGATCACGATCACTGGCCATCAGAGAGATGCAAATCATAACAACAATAAGATACCATGTCATCCCAGTACTGGTGGCAAGGTTCAATAAGACAGAAAATACCAAATGCTGGTGGGGATGTGGAGAGATTGGGACTCTCATACACTACTGATGGGACTGTGAAGTGATACAGCCACTGTGGAAATCAGTATGGTGGTTTCTTAGAAAGCTGGAATTGGAGATACCATTTGACCCAGCAATCCCATTACTAGGTATATATCCTAGAGAGGTGAGAGCCAGAGGAACAGATATATGCAAACTCATGTTCATCACAGCACTATTTACAATAGCAAAAAGATGGAAACAACCTTTATTTCCATCAATGGAATCTTCCATCAACAGAAGAGTGGATGACCAAACTATGGTACGTACATATAATGGAATGCTATGCTGCACTAAAGAATAATGTAGAGTCTGCAAAACACCATATAATATGGATGAACTTGGAGGACGTTATGCTGAGTGAAATAAATCAATCACAGAAAGACAAATATAGTATTTTTCATTGTTGTGGAAGGTTAAGGAAAGGTTTATATATGGAGGGAAACTTTCTTTGTTAGTTGCCGGGATAGGGGGAACTGCAAAAAAAAAAAAGCACTGATCCATGTCACTTTAGTTTTGTGTATTTCACTGTACATAAATTATATATCAAATGTATTTAAAAAATTCATATATAAAAATAAATAATTTTTTAAATAAATAATATATATATACATAGTTGACCTTGAATAGCATGGACTGGAACTGCACAGGTCCACTTATATACAGATTTTTTTCAATAAGGGCACTGAAACTAAAGCAAATGGTAAAAGAAGGATTGGTACCATATAGAACCATTTTGAGAGAAATGAAAAAGCAAAAATGTTAGACAGAAATTATGATGTATTTCCATAAAATTACATCGAGTGTGCCTGCCTCTCCTGCATTCCATTCTACTTTCTCTGTCTCTACCTCTGCCATCCCTGAGACAGGACAACCAACCCCTCTTCTTCCTCCTCCTGAGGCTACTCAACCTGAGGATGATGAGAATGAGAACCTTTATGATGATCCACTTCCACTAATTGAATAGTAAATAATCGTTATGTCATATGGTTAATAAATTTATCTGTTGTGTATGTGTGATTGTCTTTATGTGAAAAATCTAATAAATGTACAGTAAGAACTGTGTTAATCAATTGTTTATGTTATTGATAAGACTTCTGGTCAATAGTAGGCTATTAATAGTTAAGTTTTTGAGGAGTCAAAAGATATACATGGATTTTTTACTGCACAGAGGATGGGCACACCTAACCCCCACTTTGTTCAGTGGTCAACTTAGTTAAAGCTTTTAGAACAAGTGCTTTGTGTTCTAGAGAAAAATTGATCCCCATTTCTTGGACCACAGGTTACCAAGTTTGGTGTGAAAATGATACAGCTCTAACATATTTTTCTGGTGTCAGCCATTATCTATTAAATAGTTCTAGTTGTGGTTTCTATGACTTAATGGACAGTGTTCTGTTATTACTCATAAAATTTTCACTGGCTGATTTTCAGAAGTAGATTACCAGTCCTTTTTTTCTGATCTGTCTTACTCTAGAAGCTCTGCTGAAATTTATCCAGTGTGGGTTATCGTACTACTACTTGCAGTACCAGTGGTATAGCTTCCAGCTTCATAGCAATGCACAAGCCATAATAACACCACAAATTGACATCATAATAAATGAAGAAACTGAAATTGTCAATGATTTCATTCTACTTGGATCAACAATCAATGTCCATGGAAGCAGCAATCAAGAAATCAAAGTACATATTTTGCTGGGAAAATCATCTGTAAGAGACTTCTTTAAAGTTTTAGAAAGCAAAGATGGCACGTTGATGACTAAGGGACAGCTGACCCAAGTCATGGTGTATTCAATTGAATCATATACATGTGAAAGCTGGACAGTGAAAAAGGAAGAACAATTGAGACCTTCAAGTAGTGGTGTTGGCAAAGAATAGTGAATACACACCATGGACTGCTAAAAATATGATCAAATCAGTTTTGGAAGAAATACAACCAGAATAGGCCTAAGCAGTGAGGATGGCAAGGCTTCAACTTGCTTATTTTGGACACATCATCAGGAAAGGCCAGTCTCTAAAGAAGAATATCATGTTTGGTAAAGTAGAGGGTCACAAAAAACAAGGGGCAC